TTATAATTTAATATTTAATAAATTTATTTAGCACCTGATTTTTGAAATATTTTAAGAAGTTTGTTATTTATGAAATGTGAACTTTAAAAATAGGAACTAAGTATTGTTCCCATTAGTTTTTGCAATCAGATTGGCCCAAATATTAACAAGTTTTAGAGGGTAATAATTTGGGAAAAAATCGCATCTAACCTATTAAAAAATAAGATTTCACAAATTACTCAAAGTGTTGTGTGTGTATGTATATAGATATAGAAATATCATATACTAGGTAATATGTAAAAATATGCTACTAAATACTACGTTCTAAAATTACACAACATACCATTTTCTGTAACTGAAAATAATGCAAACATTACTCTTGCATTCAATGCCTTGCGGATCAGAAACTAATTCAAAATTGCAATGGGAGGCAGTTGTCGTATCACTATTTGTGGAAGTCATTTTTGGATTGATCTTCGTATTCAGTTTTCATCCATCTTCTTCTGTCAAGTCGTGCTGCTCTTTAGTTATTGTATCAATTTTTCAGAAATGGGGAAGTTCTCCTGAACATCTTCCCCAAATTGAAGGTAACGCTACATATTGTGATGTGATGTAATTGGATATGAATATCATAATAATTTCGTACTTTTGCTTTTGGTATGTATGTACGTCTTATAAAAGTTTATACGTCTTCCCCATTGGCCAATACTTGGACTTGCCGACGGAACCGTCACTTTTGCTGAGCTAAAGGTGAAGGAAATCAAGAATGGAAGGCTAGCTAGGATCTCCATGTTCGGGTTCTTTTGCTTAGCTAAAGGTGAAGGAAATTTATTTATTCGTTCTAGTGCCATTAATGGAAGAAACTTTTCATTGCACATTGTGTTATGTCGAATTTAAAGTGTATCTATAATTCTAATTTTAAAAATCAAGCGTAATATACACATCAAACTTGTTCTCTTTATAACATTTTAGATTTCACAACATAATCATATCGACGTCACGTTCATGCATTTATTCACATTCCAAAGTCAAGCATTTTTCTACTACAGCAGATTAAAATTTATACAGACGCATTTCTTATGGGATGGAATCCAAATAGACGTGGTTATTACTTACGAATAGGGGTGGGCGTGGATTGGGTCGGTTTTTGTCCCAACCCAAACCCAACTCAATACGATCGATTTGATCGAAATTCAACCCAACCCAACCCACGAAAAAATTGAAACCCAACCCAAACCAATCCAACCCAACCAAATGTCGGTTGGGTTGGGTCGGGTTGGTCGGGTTGGAACAACC